TATATCAGAACCTATAGGATATAGTTAAAGCAGTATTCAGAGGAAAATTTGCAGCTTTAAAATATTTATATTAATAAGGAAGAATGTATACAAATGCATTCAAGAAGTAAGCAACAACAAAATAAACCCCAAAAGGGAGGAATTAATAAAGATAAAAGCAGAAATTGATCATCTACAAAACAGAATATAAGAACTTGTAAATAAATCTGACAGCTCATTCTGTGGGGGGAAAAACATAAAAATATAATAGCTAATTAAATTGGAAGGTAAAAATGGAATATAGAGATTGCAGAAAGTATACATACTAGGTAGTCATTAAAAAATAAGATAACTATATATACTGATACCATCTGAAATATAATATTATCAACAAAACTGTAGAAGGTAGTGTCAGGGCTCCATCCTGGTGAAGGAACTGCATGATGGGAGATAGGAGTGGAAGGGAGACTTTTTACTTATAAAAATTAAAAAAAAAAACCCTATAAATTTTTTGCATTTTGTAGCATCGGTATGTATCACCTGTTAAGATGATTATTAAAAATAATTTTGGACTGGGCACAGTGGCTCATGCCTGTAATCCTAGCACTCTGGGAGGCCGAGGCGGGAGGATTGCTTGAGCTCAGGAGTTTGAGACTAGCCTGAGCAAGAGCAAGATCCCATCTCTATTATAAATAGAAAAATTAGCCAGTGTGGTGGCATGCACCTGTATGTAGTCCCAGCTACTCAGGAGGCTGAGGCAGGAGGATGGCTTGAGCCCAGGAGTTTGAGGTTGCTGTGAGCTATGAAGATACCACTGTACTCTAGCATGGGTGACAGAGCAAGACCCTGTCTTAAAAAAAAAAAAAAAATTAAAATTATTTAGAGTCTCTAAAGCTACTTAGAAGAACTTTGGATACTTCTTTTGTTATCATTGGTAGTAATGGTTCACTCTATAGCCTTTTGAAAAATAATCACACTTTTATCATCAATAAGTAGAATTTGTTTATATCTGTAGAGCACTTTATAGTCTTCAAAGCACTTAAACATAGGCTACCTCACCTAAAACCTGTGACTATAAGAAGCCAGGGCACTTCCACAGTCCCTGAACTACAGATGAGGACCCAGAGGCTCAGAGACTTGGGTGCCTTATACAAGGCTACATGCTGCTAAGAACCTCTTGCACCTATCCAAACAGGGCCAGGTTTCTAGAACCTAGGATGTCAGGATTTCATAACTTTTAAGTCGTATATGGTGATTTCACAGATGGCTATGTTCTGTTATAATTAGGAACAAAGGAACGTTAAAAACTTCAATTAGGTCTGCTTCATCAGGGAAGGGCATGACAGGCATCCACCCTTTGTTATGGGCTGAATTGTGTGTCCTCCCCAAGCTCCTAAATTGCAGCCCTAAACCCCAGCCCCTCAGATTGTGACTGTATTTGGAGATAGGGTCTTTAAAGAGATGATTAAATTAAAATGAGGTCTTTAAGGTGGGCCCTAATCCAATATGACTGGTGTCCTTAGAAGAAGAGGCAGTCAGGACACAGACACACACAGAGGAAGGACCCTGTGAACACATGGCTGCAAGGTGGCCTCCTACAAGCCAAGGAAAGAGTCCCCAGAGGAATTCAACCCTGCTCCTATTTTGATCTCGGACTCCAGCCTCCAGAACTGTGAGAAAATAAACTTCTGTTGTTTAAGCCACCTACTCTGTGGGACTTTGTTAGGGCAGCTGGAGCAAACCAGCGTACCCTTCCTTCTGCTTTATGTACCTGAAAAGTACTTTCTCATGAGTCATCTCCAAAGGTCGATCAGAGTGAGTCAACTTGCCTGCACCATTTTCAGAAAAGGAACTACGTGGTCAAGAATACGTGACTTGGAAGCACCTTTTCCCAGATGTTGAGTTTTCTTTTCAAACGAATGAATTCTAATCTGTTGAAGTGAAAAGTTTGTTGATTTAGACTAATCCTCACGGGGTTACAGTTCTGAATGATGCATTGATATCTGATGTTTGTACATTTAAAAGGTTGACAATCTGACAGCTTGTTCTCCTAAGAGGACCACGTGTACACAGAAATAATGTCAAGAAGATATTCAACTCGGGTGAGAGTCAAGATATGTATTTCCTTAAGCCTTTCTGTAGAGGTGACCTGAGGCAGCGGTGAGGCAGGAATGAAATCCAAGAGGGATGTTCTGCTACTGCGTAAATTTGGTGACTGGCCTCACCTTAGATACCAAATGCAACAAGGAGCAGTGTTTTCAAACACGACACAGAATGCAGTCACCAGGGCAACGCATCAGGCTCACCCAGCAATGTGCCTTCTGTTCTCCGCTGACCAGCTCTGTGCCAACATCATGAGAACCCAATGTCCTTGACCCAATATCCTCACCAATAAAAATTTTTAAAAAGTTCTGTGAGAATTAAGTGAAATCATACATGCAAGAACTATGTAAAATAACTTAAAAAGAACTATACAGGCTGGGCGTGGTGGCTCAGGCCTGTAATTCTAGCACTCTGGGAGGCCGAGGCAGGAGGATTGTTTGAGCTCAGGAGTTCGAGACCAGCCTGAGCAAGAGCGAGACCCTGTCTCTACTAAAAAAAAAAAAAAAAAATAGAAAGAAATTAGCTGGACAACTAAAAATACATATACATATAAAAAATTAGCCGGGCATGGTGGTGCATGCCTGTATTCCCAGCTACTTGGGAGGCTGAGGCAGGAGGATTGCTTGAGTCTAGGAATTTGAGGTTGTTGTGAGCTAGGCTGATGCCACAGCACTCTACCCCGGACAGCAAAGTGAGACTCTGTCTCAAAAAAAAAAAAAAAACTGTACAAATGTAAATTATCATGAATATTATTGAATCAGATGAAAGATTATGAGACCAGGAATCACGTGATTTCTAATTCTATGACCTATGTGCTTTTCTGCATGTTATGTTACACCTAAAGCAAAAAAACAGAAAGAAAAGATTTCTAACACTGTCTCTGCTACAAACTAGTCTAACATTGGGCCACCTCACTTCATGGGACCTTAGTTTCCTCATCTGTAAAACAAGGGTGTTGAATCATATTATTTTACATTAGCTGGAGCTATCTAAAATTCAAAGATCTAATTCTTACTCAATGCCATGATAATATATAACATGGTTTCAAAATGGGGACTTTGACATGTAGGTGGGGACACATTACTTTGATGTGAAATGCCTGAGGTGTCAAAGAACAAAAAGGGTTTCCAAGGTTCCTGGCTGTTTTGTGACTAGATTACATAGGGAATGCCAAATGATTGATCAGGTTTTATGAGGGAAGCTTTGGGAGATAATCTAGAAGATAAAAGTATTGTAAAATTTCAGGCATGAAAAAAAAAATGTAGTGCTTCAAGTACAGCTTCCTTGCTCATTAATACATGATGTAATTCTTATGAAAAGTTCAGAACACAGACTCTGCCCTCCCTGAACCTAGGATTGAAACTGGACTCTGCAATTATTCGGCTGGCTATGAAGGGCAATTCCCTTCCTCTCTCTAAGCTTCAGCCCCTTAAACAGGCAAAATGAGAAGAGAACCTTTATCATAGCACAGTGCATGGCACGTAAGTGTCAAAGTCTCATCATCGTCGTCGTCAATGACTCAACATATAAACCTCCGCTCGTCTCTGTTCTTTGGTTCGTATTGTCGATGACTGAGGCACGTCTACCACATCTGTTAGTACCCAGCATAAGCCTGTGCACACGCAGCTCTGAGGATGCAAGTAGGATTCAAAGAAATATCCTACAGAGAGTGGAAAGCACAACTCCTCACTTCTAAGGAGCAATGGGATGAAACAGTGACAGAAGGGAAACTAAGCTACATTTTGGATAATCTCTCATGCAGGACTGTTAAATGCTAAAATATTTCTTATTCTGTTATCTTTAACAGATATTTAAAATATTACACAAAACAAGCAATGTTATTCTACCCATGCTGTTGAAAATCTGGGAAATACCAAAAAGAATGAAAAAGGAAAACCACACCCATAGTATACTGCCAAGAGATAAGCAGTTTTGATGGGGAGTGTCACCATGTGTCCTTGGAAGTCCCATTCCACCTTAAGCCATGCATATCAAGTGACAAGAACATCAGACTTTCCTTCCTTCCCCTCCATCCTTCCATCAATACAACTCCTACCTCACAAGAATCATAAGAAAGAATTACAGGTGGCCGCATGACATTGGCTAACTCCCTTAAACCAAACTGTAGTTATTGTACCTGTGGAACGAGCTAGTTCTACATCACCACTGTTGGAAAGATATCACATAAACTCAGTGTCTTTGATGTTGTGTAAACCTTCAAGTACTATTCAGACTATAGCTTTAAGGTATTATAAATTCTTGATTTTTCCTGATAACAATTTCATCTTCTAGAAGGCAGAGGAAGCATAAAGGGGTATTTAGACCTAATTCTAAACAACAAAGAATTTGGGAGAAGCCTAGGTAGAAAGTGACAGTCTCATATAAGAGGTTTCTTTACAAATTATATAACAAAACTCAAAAGCAATCTACACGTTTCCCTGGTAGATCTTTCTAGAACACATAAATATTCCACATTATTTTCATAAACTCTCAAATTTCCTGGGTGTACCTTGACAGCATTTTCATCTCAAATGTGCTAAGCACCCATAAGAATGAAATGCAACGGGTCTGCAAAATACAGGTATTATGTGCCATATGCCATTTTATATGAGAATCTGAACCCATAGAGTCTAAGCGTGCAAAAAGTCCTGTCTGCCATCTCTCTCCCTCTCAGGCACACCTGCTTGCACACGTGCATGTGTGCACACTCCACCCCCACCCCCACCTGCTTCTGCAGACGCTTCGCAGACCTGACTTCAGCCTGGGACGTATTGTTAAGGCCCAGTCACGAAGCTTTGGCTCTGAAGGCTTATAATTGAAAAGGGCACACAGTGCTTGTTACCATACCCACGGTGCCAAATTGTGAGGAGTGAGTTGTTGAGACAAACTTTAATTACAACTCCTTGGAGCACGCTCACCTGTTTTGCTATTTCAGTGAGGGCAGCGGCTTCTGCCTTGCCCAGTTGTTGCACCATCTTGTAAAATAGGCTCTCTTTATTTTGCAGCAAAACATATGGCTCATCATATTCTTTCAGTCTTCCTGAGTCCAAAACCTGTTAATCAGCAGAAAGAAATCCATTGAAACACAATGTTTTGCAGTAACATATTATAACTCAGACAATATTTCGGAAAAGGCCAGGGCAGGGAGAATACAGACAATCTATTTGGGTGGTAGGCCTGGATGGTGTTTAAATGGTTTGATTACCCTGTGTTCCAAAGCAAACAAAGGCCTAACCTGACCTTTTATTATTATAATGTTATAGGAAAGGAAGAAAATGAAAGTTTTAGGCTATTATTATGGGCGTTTGGCAGGCCTGTAGCATTTTATATTCTGCCAAGGGCATTTTGGGTTATTATCATCAGTTGGTGCTTTTAACTCTCAGATTCTAAGCTTTAAGGGCTATTTATACATATATTCAGAGTTGAAAACGTCTTGATTTAAGAAAATCAAACTCCATTTATCTAAAACGTAGGGTGACGTCATAAAAACCAGATGGCAAAGACCTGACGGCAAATTAATTGCCAAGCGGGTTTGATGTCATCTGAGTGATATCTGGAAAAGAATTAAATGCTTCTGGATTTCCTGTAGCGTCCTAGAATATGTCAGCTGCTAAGAGGAACTAAAGCCTTGTCAGTGAGGTTAAGGTGCACCCTCAAGTCAGCGCTGGGAGTAGTTTATTATTCTAAGACTGAAAGGTTGGCCAAAAGAGCTGCTACCTAAGCAGCTTTAGCATAATTGCTCTCTGCACAGAAGAAATTTCTAGAAATCCAATTTTCTCTTTGAATAAGACTAAAGAAGCAATTAAGAAACTGAGCTCCAAATTCCGGTGATCATGGGCCCACATGGCACACGGGGGCAGCCTAACCTGCATCGCAGAGAGTCTGAATATATCTGTCTTCACAATCACCTTTCCTTGCTTCTTTCTCTCTCTTTCTTTAGCTGCCTTCCTTTTAGCATTTTACTGCTCATTAATATGTCCACTGGAAATTGAAAGAGAGAGAAAGGGGCTCTTAACTCTGCATTTCGACTTATTAGTGGCTTTGGTTAATGGTTTCAGAGGGAAGAAAGAGTCTGAAACAATTGGCCCAAATGACGTACCTAGGAAAATAGTTCTGATGTTAAGTGGTACTTAGTTCTTCATTTAGGCTGTATTTAGAGTAAATTTATCTTAAGAGAATATGCTGAAACTCTAAGCAGGACACAGGTTGTTTTTCTACATCTAGATATTGCAGTTAATTCTGTCCCATGGTATTTAATCAGACACATTTATTAAGTCTCATAAAGGGCATTTTCCTGTTAATCTTTTGTTTACCACTGTGAATCGCTGCTAAGGGCAGCTTTCTCAAAAGAGTTCAAGAATAATTGAATCTGTCACATCCACATAGTAATTAAAATGTCCTATAATTTGGCATGCCAATTTAGGTGCCCCGAATGTGTAATTTTACTTAAGCATAGCATTATAGAGCATAACCACTCCTCCTGACGTTGAAGGAAAAAAAAATGCAATTTTAAAATACAAGTCTCTCTCATGATAACACTTACGTAAATAAGTGAATCAAATTTATAAAATGTGAACTTTTGGTCTGCAGAAGCAACAAGTAAAATTTTAAAACCTCAGATTTGGTAGAGAGTGAGTTCTTTGACTATAAAGATTTTACATAATTTTGAATGGAGAAAAGTACTACTAGTATTTTGTCCTTGTCCAACTTTCTACTAAATTTATTCACAGTTGAGTGAATAGTAAATCTTTTCAATTTCCCTTATATTGTCTGAAAACCCATGAATGCCACCAATAGTTCTCAGAATTGACCAGAATCTAAAAAGGCAGAGCCAGAAAAAAATGAATGCTTTCAAAAAGCATTAGCATTAACAATATAAACCACAGAAAGATCATTTTGGTCAAAATATTTCGAGCCTTATAAGTATTAACAATTTAACGATTGCATTTTATTTTGTTAGGAGAATTGTCAATCTTAGGGGTGACAGAACTGTGATCATTTGTATTAATGCTTGATAATTTATTAGACCTTAAATTTTAACTTCTGTAAGGTAACATTTTAAAAATGTAAAACAAAACAGACCTCTTTAATACTGTTTTAGTATGCATTAAAATACAATACAGTGTCTTAAAATGAACTGGAATATTATAGCCCCAAATGGATTCACAAGGTTGGAGAGGTGGCACATACCCAGGCACAGAAAGCGTGCACAGAAACACAATGTAACAAAGAATTCGGCTACCGGAAGATCAACGAAATCACCCTGTAAATAATATACCAGTTTTTGAACTTGAAAAGGAGAATTAAAAAATGGCTACAGGTTGAATTCTCTGCTTTTACTGTCATCACCATTAACTCTCAAAGCAGAGTAGACAACAAGGCAGATCATTTCCTTCCTCCCTTCCATCCATTCCTCCAATGTTAAGTGAGTACCTATAACCAAAGCCCTGTTTTAGGAACAGGAGATTCAAAGATGCACAAGAGACCGAGCGTGGTGGCTCACGCCTGTAATCCTAGCTCTCTGGGAGGCCGAGGCGGGCGGATTGTTTGAGCTCAGGAGTTCGAGACCAGCCTGAGCAAGAGCAAGACCCTGTCTCTACTAAAATTAGAAAGAAATTAATTGGACAACTAAAAAAATGAAAATAAAAATTAGCCGGGCATGGTGGCACATGCCTGTAGTCCCAGCTACTCGGGAGGCTGAGGCAGAAGGATTGCTTGAGCCCAGGAGTGTGAGGTTGCTGTGAGCTAGGCTGACGCCACAGCACTCTAGCCCAGGCAAAAGAGTGAGACTCTGTCTCAAAAAAAAAAAAAAAAAAAGATGCGCAAGAAACAGTCTGTCAAGATGCTGACAGCCAGAGATAAAGACTGAAGTGCAGACAAGTTAAATAACCAGGCCCAGGCTGCATAAATCAGGAGACGGCAGAGGTGGGATTCGAACCCAGGTCTGAACCTGTCTTCTTTCCTCTGCAGCTTAGTCCCAGATATACACGATTAGTTTATTTATTATTCGAAGTAAAATAAGGGTGATGGGAATTTTAAATATGTAATTTTCTAAGATACTTTTTCATTTAGATAATATATTGATTCTGCATAATTTAAGAAAATATACTTGTAAAAATAAACATTCCCCCCCCCAACCCCCGTCCTTGTCCCACTGCAATTTTGTTGCACTAAGGACTCAAAACTATTTACTGTGTGCCTGGTATATACTCACAGAAGAAGAAAGCCAATTTGATTAACCTTTGAGGATTAATAAAGAACGAATAACACATGGACAAAACACACTAGGGGGAAATTTAAGTGAACTTTCAAGAATCCCTGAATTTACTCAGCACACATTTCTCGCACACTTACTATAATACATTCATGTCATTATGCTGGACACTGGGGAAGAGGCAAAGATAGCTAAGCCTTTACTCAAAGATGAGAGAGAAGAAAATATTCAAGTGACTATAATCCAAGAAAAAAGGCAAAACCAGTAGGAGTTTAGCAGCAGCAGAAGTCACCTTTGGCCAGAGGTTGTGAGGAGGAACATCCGGGAGGAGTGAGCAGCAAACGAGGAGGGCCTTGAGCAATGGACACAGTTGTACCTTCAGAAATGGGGTAGAGGACAGTGGTCATCCCAGACTTGAGAAAGACAGGGAATAAGAGATCTGGAGGCAAGCCTGGCCCCTCCTCAAGGACGGGGTTATGTGGCTTCTCTTGTTCACTGGTGCATCTCTAGGGCCAGGGGCTGTACATGACAGGTTAGCTGGCACCCAATGCATAGTGGTTAAAAGTTGAATGCAAAGGAAACTAAATCCAGGGTGTGACTGGGTGACTGTCCTAACTGGTGCAGTCTGGTAAGATTACAGGGTGAGACCAGGAGACAAAGGGATCCAGCTGGCCTTGGGAAACAGATGGGGCAGGGGAGCACAGGGATTATAGGATTAAGGTATAGGCTTGGAGGACCACATGCCTCCAGGTAATGGCTATGGGCAAGAGAGAGAGCAGGCAACAGGGCCCAGGCTTGAGACTCATTTTTATTAAATATTGGAAAAGAGAAAGAAAAGGAGGGCCAGGCAGGTGCTACAAGACACAATTTAGGATGCACGTGGTAAAAATGCCAGGAATAGAATTTTACCTATTTCTACAGACTGAACATCCCTTATCCAAAATGCCTGGGGCTAGAAAGGTTTCAGATTTTGGAATATCTGTATTATATATACTTACCAATTCATTATCCTTAATTTAAAAATCTGAAATGCCCCAGTGAGCATTTCCTGTGAGTGTCATTGTCAAAGCTCAAGAAGTTTTAGATTTTGGAGCACTACAGATTTCAGATTAGGGATATTCAAGTTATATTTGCTGATATAATCAGAGATTCCATATCTTTTAGAACAAGTAAAAGATAAAGCAACTCTGAATTTGCTTTTTGGTACAGAAAGACAGGAATAATTAATTTGAATCTTAACATCTTTCTTATCTACAAGAAAAAACTGAAATCTCCCAGTGGTGCTCCCCTTCCTATAGCCGAATAAAACTGTAAACTAAAGCATACTTTAATGTTGATCCCTGGGCCCCAGGATCGCCCCAGGAACGCCAACGTTCCAAACTGCCTGCTGCTGTCCAGTAGGTTACGGAAAAATACATTATATTGGATGAGTGAGTCAGCGACATAAGCTTGGTGAAGATGTGGTTGTCTGGCCTGCCTATCTGCAGATGTTCCAGGTAGCTGTCCTAGACATGAAAGTAAATGGACTAACTACAAAATAATCCGTGTTAATTGGCAGGATGCCATCAGCTCTAGTAAGGTGGCCTCAGGGACAGGTGAAGAGTAGGACAGGGTAGAGGGAAAAGTCTGATCATAAGAAAAGAAAAGCCCAGAACAGCCTTAAATATGGCGACAGCAATAAAGGGAGACTCCACTTAGAGAGGGGCAGAGTGGGGTTAGGACGATGTGACTTTCAGGTCTGCTTTGGGCCGTCAGGTGACAAAGGGCTGTATACGCATATATCCAACCTTGGAAGTTGGGTCCCTAGTTGATAAAATGGGTGCCTGTGATTTCTCTGTGACAATACAGTGTAGCTGTGTCAAGTATTACTCAAGGTCCCTCCCTAGGTCTTGAAACAGTAAATCACTCTCCTCACCTGGGGAAGATGAAGGTTAGGTCACGGTGACCTACACAGCTGCCCCTCAAAGCTCCTGCATGTACCGCTCTTTCGCAAAGTATTTCTTCTCCCAATTCGTGCCTTCTACCCTCATATTAGTTATTTCCCCCCTGAACATTTCAATTAAATCTCTCAGCATATTTCTGAAGTAGAATTTTTTGTTCTTTCTGAAATGTTCTAATCGTGGCCAGTGTAGGTTTACTAAGGAAGAGTTCCATGAAGGTGAAAACAAGAATTTAAATAAAACTCAAGTGAGTTTTTATTGTGCTTTTCCAGCTGGGTATGTTACAATAGTTTCTAGTTTTGTTTTCTTTGGGGAAACTACTAAAAAGAGATTGGAGTTTAGAAAGAAAGGTAAAGATTCTAAACCCGTGAGACTGCCTATAAAGAGAAGAGCTACGATCTGTGTTTCTCAGCCTTGGTTTTGGTTCTCCGGAATTTATTCCCAAAGAATTCAGAAATGCAGATTCTCTTAGTTGTCATTTGCTCATGCTACGAGGGAGAATCCGGAGTGTTGTAATGACCAGCGTGTGCAGGGATTGGAGGAAAAGGCTGTGCTCCTGGCTGAAAGGAAAACAGGTGACAAGTAACCGGCTAAGCCTAAGAACCCCAGGGAAGAAGACGCAATCTTTAATGTAGATACGTTGGTGAGTATTAAGAGAAAGGGGATTTCTAATTTGTCTCTCTTGCTCTACTGTTTTGTGGGAATTGGGCAAATGAGGAAGATTAAATTAGCTGTCATTATGACTACGCCATGTTTAATAAAGTTAAAATTGAGAAAACATCTTTATAAAACTGAATTCTAATACATTAATGGCACTTAATGAACCAAAACTGGGTAAATCTCTTTGGAGAGCCAATGTATAAACAAAGCTATTAATTAGGTCACAGTTGTTTCTCAACAAGTCTTTTGTTTGACTGACTTACAGTAAACAAAACCATATCCATCCCGTCTTTGTGGAGAAGTATTCACCAGTGCAACAAAATGTAATTATTATACCTTAAGCACTTGCAATTACACGACTTTCTGATGACAACACTGGTGGTTATACCCTTCATTAGCACCTGTCACTTCCCCAGCCACTCCCTGAGCCTGGCCGCTGCCCTCCGGAGCATTAGGCTTGGCAGCTGATTCACTTGTCTTTATGTCCTCAAAGCTTTCAGAATACCAGAACAGAAAATCCCTGGTTTTCTGGAAAGGAAGTAGGTATTTCTAAAGCAAGCAAGAAAGGAATATTCCTTCGAAAATCAAAGGTTTAAGAAAGAATATTATTCATGGTGTTTCACTGAATTGAAAGCCAGCTGATGATCAGAACCTCTAGAATACAACAGAAGTGTCAACCAGGGTGGAAGAGAGCACAGAGGCCAACTGCTTATCTCCAAAGCTATGAAATGCATGTCTCTCGGGTCCCCTGAGGTTGAATCCTTCCATTCGCTATCACGAGAAATTAGAAACTAAGGGTCATCAAAAAGAATTCAGAGCTCATAATAAGACTCATTATTTTATATATATATAAAAAGAAGTCAACAACAAAACCCAGCTCAAGTGGCCAAGTTTACATCTCCTGGTAGGACTTCCTTGTGAAGTGGCTGAGTTGATGACCTTGTAGCCAGGGACCCCCAAATTGAAGATCTCCCAACACTGGAGTTGGGAGAGTTGTATGGTGGGGAGGGACAGTTGTATGGTGAAATGTAAGGTCATCTCAGCAGTCTCATGCTCCAAGAGAATTGCTGCCTCATCCTTCTCCAAATCGACCTCTCCCTTGGTTTTCCCCATTCATCCACATCTCAGGCCCCAACCCTAGAAACTGGCACTGACTCCTCTCTCCTCCCTCATATCCCATGTGTAATCCATCAGACAGTCCAGCTGCTCTACTTTACTAGTCACCATCTCCACTGTGTGCACCTAGTCTAAGCCACACGCAAGGGAGTGAATGCTGCGGTTGAAGACCTCAGGCATGATCACTGTGGCTTTTGCTATAAAGGAAAGGGGAGAGCAGAGTGGAACAAGGCTAGAAAGGCAGGGAGGGAATCACTGTAAATTGCTTTGTAGAGCCATGCTAAGAGTTTAGATAAAAACACTAATAAAGAAATAAAAAAAGTGAAGTTTTCAAAATCTACCTGGAAGTATTATTGGCAAAGATCCATTGGCAAAGATCAAGCCAATGGACACATTTTGATGTTGGCAACAATGTTGATGGGTCAAGGGGATGCTCACGTTCAGGTCTGTGGGTCAAATGCTGATTGATCAGTTTTAGGAGCAACAAGCTGCCAAATCTGCCAAATTCTGTCCTTCGGGGCTACCTCCCTAACCAATCATACATTCCGAGTTGACAGTATTTCCAATCATTTGATAATAAAAGGAAGTCACTATCATTAATGTTGTAGTAACAAAACCCAAGAAGAACTCTATATGGTGCATTTAGGAGCAAAGAATTTGTTTTGAACAAGCTGCCAACTGAGCTGGAGATCAAGCCATCTTTCTGCTGATGCATCCAAAGCTTGGCAAAGTGCTACAAGCAAGGAAACTTTAGGGCACCATTCACTTATTGTGAAAGCAGGATGCTTTTCAGACAGTCTGCATGATACAATTCTGACAGACAAGAACAAAAAGTGACAGGTAAAAAGTAGAAATCAAAGTACAGGAGACTTCTCTGGGTGGCCTTGGACTCACCCAATTCTTGCTTATAGTTCTTGAGAATAACTGTAGACGGTGCCGGAATGCAACTTCCTAAGGCAGGGAGGAACTGCCTGACACAGCTGGGCCTTGTTCTCCGCTCTCCTGGAAGCAGGATGACCCTCAAAGCTCTGCCCAGTTAGTCATGTTGCCCCTGAGGTATATGATCCAGGGCAGGCTGTCTTGTGAGGCCCTCAGCTGTGGTACAAGTGGGGTATATGCAGTTAAGACTCCCTCTGCCCTGGGTGGCTTCCTTGAGCCTCAGGGGACCAGCTCACAAAGGATCCTAAACTCCTTTTGTCCCTTGCCGCATATCTATATGTACTAAAACCACTTCATGTAACTTTGTGAAAGTGAGTGTGTTCTGTCTCTCCAGGCTCAGGCACTGGTGACACTGCAGCCCAGGATGTGGTGGGTGGAAGCATCTGGCTCCTGTTCCTGGTGGTTGCAATAATGATGACCCCTGCTACCCTCCACACAGTGATAGTCCTCCCTCAGCATCCACAAGATGGAAAAAAATCAGCCAATGCTGCAGGCTTCAGTCAGTGTGAAAATAACTCACGTTCCTTTAAGTTTATTTGTAGTCAAAGGTTTTTCCTTTGAGAAGTGTTTCCCTTATCATACTATAAAAGCCACATCCTAAGATATATTGAACCTGAGCAAGCAACAAAAGGAAAGGAGAAAAGGGGCTGGGGCAGGGAGAAGAGGATGAGGACTGGGAGGAAGAAAGGAAAAAGGAAGAAAGAAAGAGAGAAAAGGAAGAAGGGAAGGGAGGAAGAAAATAAAGAAGGACAGACTGAATTACTAAGGAAGAAAGAGCCAATCAAACCTGGAAGGAAGGTACTACACAAATATTCCAACACCAAAGCTTGCAGCCTGTCATGGGTACAGCTACCAGATCCCCCTTCCGCACCCTGATCTGTGGTGCCGGGGCAATCTCGGAGTCTGCATGGCCGGTTGGCCGTGTTGGGTTCTGCCTGAGTAGGGAGCACTAGTGGGAGACTGCAGGACACAGGCAAATGGTCTTCCTGGTTTCTGCTACTCTGGCCAGCATCACCCTGGCCTCCAGACTTCAACTTCTATTAGCACATCTGGAACCAGCCTCATCTCGCTACCTCACAAATACAACTACAGCTGGGCAGCGGCTCCTCATGGGAAGTCTAAGTACCAACTCTCTGGGGCCTCTGCTTTGAGTACCTAGGTCTGGAGATCTGTCCCAGCAGCTTCCTAAAATTGTTACCTAGTGCTTCCCTTCCCTCTCCCGGCCCTCCAATTCTTATGTAATAAACTTCCTATGTTAAATCCTTTCTGTTGGAATCATTTGTTCTTGTGACTAGGCTCTTTCTGAAAATAACTAGTTAAGAATATTCTCATATATTCCCCTCTGACAGCACATCTTGTGAACATCCTGACAGCTGAGAAATTCTGCAATCTTACACAGCAACCTCCTGGCAGTTTAAATGAAAGGCTTAATTTTGGATTAAGGGACTCCAACATGCTGAAACAACTGTGACCGACTCTGTAGAATGACGCCTGGCATCACGAGTTGAATCTTAGATTTAGAATATTTTCATACATTTGGAATACTGGCCAATGTAAAGAAAATGACAATTCAAAATAAACATTTAATATAAAAATATGCAAAGAGACAAGCCAGGTATATTTTTTAACAGCACTGAATACATAGTTAAGTACTTAGGTTATTGATGAGAAAGAGAGGAAAAATTAACGGAAAATAACTTATTGGGAGTTTCTATCAAGTTTTACAAGGAGAGAATAAATTGAAAAATTGAACATAAATGGAAACAACTGGAATTCCATAGGTGAAGGACTCACCATTATCTTGTCACTGTCAATAATAGTGTTTAGTCTATGCGCGATGGTTAGCACGGTGCAATGGGCAAACTTCTCCCGGATTTTTTTTTGTATTAACTCATCAGTTCTACAATCAAAGAAATTTAATTCAGTAAAGATGGTAAAAGTAGGCTTAAAAGATCTACTACAAAATGGAGATAAAAAAAAAATCATAAAGAGATATATTTTAATAATGTAAAAATCAATATTTTAAACATAATCTTAATTCTTAAAAAACTAAATATAAAAAGTCTACAATGAAACTATTTTTTTAAATAAAGCAATGGAGGCCGGGCGCGGTGGCTCACGCCTGTAATCCTAGCTCTCTGGGAGGCCAAGGCGGGCGGATTGTTTGAGCTCAGGAGTTCGAGACCAGCCTGAGCAAGAGCGAGACCTCGTCTCTACTAAAATTAGAAAGAAATTAATTGGACAACTAAAAATATATAGAAAAAATTAGCTGGGCATGGTGGCGCATGCCTGTAGTCCCAGCTACTCGGGAGGCTGAGGCAGGAGGATCGCTCGAGCCCAGGAGTGTGAGGTTGCTGTGAGCTAGGCTGACGCCATGGCACTCACTCTAGCCCGGGCAACATAGTGAGAGTTTGTCTCAAAAAAAAAAAAAAAAAAAAAAGCAATGGAAACTATCTTCCCTCCAAATTGCTTAGACTATCAGGAGTAGAATTTAGGAATCTAGCTGTCTAAGGATGCTTAATAATGTCATTAACATTGTAAAACATTTTTTGGTTTCTACCTCTGGTTTTCAGAATTAATGTTATCAAGATATCCTTGGGGCAAACAGAACACTTAGAAACATTTCTCAGCATCCTTAAATGTTCGTCACTGACCACATTTAAAATTTGGATCCACCGTTACGTGGACATCAGCTCTGTACCTTGGATCCACATTTGCTGTCGCTTCGTCGATAATCAATATCTGATTTTTCCTAAGAATTGCCCTGGCAAGGCACACCAGTTGTCTCTGTCCAACACTGAAATTGGATCCTGATTCTGCTAATTCAGTATCCATTTTACCAGGAAGATCTTCAATGACTTCTTTAAGCTGCACCTGTAGATACAGAAAGAAGAATGATATTTTCTTGCACTACTATTACAGTAGATATGCCTTTTAGACAGAATTCTCAAGTCCTTTCTCTCAGAAGATGTATCTTTCGTGTGCAGCCACTCGTGGTCAGTTATTTCTAGATAATGTTCAATGCAAAGATGGCAGCACCAACTCATAACAAAAATATTCTAACTTAGAACAAAACCAAGATGCTGCTTTGTCACCGTCAATAAGCATCTGTTCATGCTGGGTCATTTGTTAACACTGCCTGTGCCAGTTTCATTAAGAAATACACAGTATGCTAAATAAAATTAGCCTGTAGGTGAAATATGAAAATATAAAATATGTTCCTTCTTAATTATTAGCTAAAAGATTAACTAAAGGAATTTATAGAGACAAAAAGCAGAGTGGCAGCTGCTCAGGGGCTGGAGGATTAACTGTATCCATATACACCAGGACATTTCTTGGGGTGACAGAAATGTTCTGACACTGGATTGCTGGGATGATTGTACAACTCTGCAAATTCACCAAAATCACGGAATCACTGAAAATAAGGGGAGCATTTTCTGGTATGTAAATTATACCTCAATAAAGTTAGTGAAAAAAATCATCTCTATGTGCCCCAACACTGGAACTCCTGACACATGACGCCCACCAAGAAACCCTCTCAGGGAGTCAAGAGTGTCTCTCTCGCCCAGCAGCCCCGAGGTCGGCGTTGTCACACTCCTGCCCCAAGACTGCCCCCACCCTAGGGATGTGCTGTCATCCCCACTAGAGACCATCCGTGTAGACACGGCAGCCACCAACTCCACTCAGAGCTGCTGTCGGTGTAGCAAATGAAGTTGTGGTATTTTCCTGGCTTGGCCCTGCCTGTCTCGTATCTGACGCCCAAGACCCTCCTAGGTCCCCAGCTGGCAGCCCCTGATTTTAGATCACACTGGACACCTCCCCTGTGGAGCCTCCATTTCCTCATCTGATGGTAATAAATTTCCTGTTTAGCATTTCGGGAAAAAAAAAAAAAAAAAAAGAGTGTCTCTCGAAAAATAAAGCTCTT